AAGGCTACTATTGCAGCGGTTCGCAAACGGCAATCTTTCATGGAAATTTATCTTCCACCGGTGGCAAGTTATTTCAGCTTACGGCTGTTGAGATCTATAGAGCATTTATGGTATTAAAAGGGCATGCTATATGGGCCTAATTTACCCTGTATATTCGGGGAATTCTTTGTAAATCCTCTTTTGAGGACGATCTACATATATATATATATATATATACGCTATCCTATCCAGGTGTTGTGCTGTGACATAGCCATATCCTCATGAAACCGCAATAACCCTCTCATTTTGAGTAATTTTTGGAAACCCTTTATTGGGTATAAATACTCAGGCCTGTATAGCCTGTTACATGCTATACACATAGTATATGGAGCAATAATCTTCTCATTTTGAGTAATTTTTGGAAACCCTTTATTGGGTATAAAAACTCAGGCCTGCATGGCCTGTTATATGCTATATACACAGTTGATGTGTTTGGAATCCATGTATTGTGACTACCTGGCTCCCCACCCCCACATGTATCTTGGAAAAGCATCAAGGACCTGATCCTATTTCAAGTCGACAGAAGTCTTCTTGATCTTCATTTATGGTAATATACCCACTCTATGTGTGTCTTGTTTTCAGGGTGACCTGATGCCCATGATTTTTATATGTATCACTATTTTTCTATATATATCCTCAGAATCATTTGGTACTGTGGACCCTGTTTCACTTGGGGTGGCTATCCAGGAAGTCCCTACATTTGAGAAGTTGGCCTGTTAATCACACTATTGAGAAGGTAATAGTAGTATCCATTGACTACTGCAGAGGGAGGCTTGGTGAATTTTGGATGTGTTTTGGTTTTTTGTTTTTCATACTTCTATATATATACTATGTACTTCTGTGTTCCAGCTTTTTCATACCAGGAGATACCTGACATATATTGGGAACACATTTGCTGAATACATGGTTCATTTGAATACAAGACGAAAACCTATGGAAACCCAGGATAACTATATCACCACTATATAACTCTGCCTTATGGTACTCTATTTGCTAAGATTACCCGAAACTGAAGACGCCTAGTGCTTTTTAACAGGATTTTATTTACTTTTTTCATATATACACCGTGCTCATGTTTAACCTCCTTATGATCTATGTGATCAAATAAAGTATTGTTTGGAATATTTTTGAATTCATATTACTCCGCGTGGATCACCTAGTAACCTTCTTTTTCCAGGTAGGGGTGTTCTTGTCACACTACCATTTTGCTTAGTGAGTGCACAACTTGCACGTGCCCCCCTACCCAGAAATGACGTATATATAGGTGATTCTGCACACAGGTGCCGCCCCATAGCAGTATATCTGCTATAGGTTAGTCCTTAAGCGGTTAATTGAACAGGCTCAAGTTAGAAGCTGATTGACTACCAGGCATAGCTGCACCAGATTTTGCACTCTCCAGTTTTAGTAAATCAACCCCTTAGTTTTAGGAGTTAATAGAGAATACTCTAATGCACAGTGAAATGTGTAATATCAAAGTCAGAATGCCGTAGTCAGTAGTATCACACCATTGAAAACAAACATGACTGTTGAAATGCACATATACAGTCACTGTGAAGGTAAAGTTATTATTATGATGTCATAACAAGCATTCAAATGCAATAGTAAGCATTACTTTGTAATAGGTAGGATATTGATGTTACAGTAAAAACTGTGAAGGCAGAAAAAATTATTAAAGGATTTTTTTAGGATTGAAATGATTTTGTAATGTCTTATGATAGCCAGGTAGATATAATATTTGTCAACTGTCTGTCTCTATTTGTTTTGATGGCTTGCACAAGTTGTCAATTTTTTTTTAACCACTTGAGCTCCTGAGGATTTACCCCCCTTAATGACCAGGCCTCTTTTTGCTACTCGGCACTGCACTAATTCAATCAATAATTGCGCGGTCATGCAATGCTGCACCCAAACAAAATTTACGTCCTTTTTTGATCACCTGTGCGCTTTTTATTTTTCACGCTATAAACAAAAAAATGCCAAAAATTTTGAAGAAAAACAATATTTTTTACTTTCTGCTATAAAAAATATATAGTAAACTCAAAGTTGGTTATACAATTTGGCAAAAATGTATTCTGCTCCATGTTTTTGGTAAAAAAAATCCCAATAAGTGTATATTGATTGCTTTGTGTGGAAGTTATAGCGTCTACAATCTATGGTATAAATACTGCTATTTACGCCATTTTTCTGCTATACAGCGCTGCGCTAGTTTAATGGACAATTGCGCGGTCATGCAATACGGTACATAAATGAAATTTACATCCTTTTTTTTCCCACAAATTGAGCTTTCTTTTGGTGGTATTTGATCGCCTGTGCGGTTTTTATTTTTTGCGCTATAAAAAAAAGGCTGACAATTTTGAGGAAAAAAAACAATGTTTTGGACTTTTTGCTATAAAACATGTCCAGTAAAAAAGAACATGCAAAATCAAATTTAGTCATAAATTTCTGCCAAAATGCATTCTGCGACATGTCTTTGCTAAAAAAAAACCCAATACATGTAAATTAATTGGTTTACGTGAAAGTTATAGCGTTTACAAATGGCAGGAAAGATACTGGGATTTTTAATTTTTATTTATACTAATAATGGCGCTGATCAGCGACATATAGCGGCAATCAGCGACATATGGCAGCGACCAGCGACTTATGGCGGGACTGCGGTGGACATTTTGACACTGGGGGGGAACTGACTTGGGGTCACTGACATCCCCAGTGACACCAATACAGTGATCAGTGAAAAAAAAACCACTGAAACTGTACTAATGTCACTGGGGAGGAAGGGGTTAACATTTTTAGAATTTGCTGTGTAAGGGGAGTGTTTTATTAGGGGGCGGGGGTGTGTACTGGATGGGGGGAGGGGGGGGAGCTGATCGAGGGAGAGAAACTCTTCTCTCCCTCTGCAGCTTGTCGGCGAACTGTCACAGAGCAGGCTGTGTGTAAACAATGCAGCCCTGCTCTGTGTCAGTGATTACCGCTCATCGCGGGAAAACGGCCGGTAAAAACCGGAGACCCGCTGCTGACAGCCGCGGGACAGGCAGGGCGGCGCGCCCCCTACCTGTTTTGAAGGCAGTCGTTTTAAAACGTGCTTTTGCCTACGAGCGCCGCCCTGCCACCGTTTATATGCGGTGGCTGGGTGGCATGTGGTTAAATCCTCATTCCGAACTGTACATAAAGCAATATTGTATTCAAATCATTATGGTCACTTTGAAAGACAGCTTAGTTATTATGCACATTTTTTATATATAAAATATACATTGTGTAAATATAAGGTAGGATGCAATCTTAGCTAAATACTTTCTGCTAGTTTTGCATCTTGTAAAAAATATCATAGATCTATTTAGCATTAAATAAAGTATTCAAAAAAAGCAATAAGTAATATAAAACAGAGTAATGAGTATATAGGTATAAACAACAAAACTGCATTAATTCCATAACTGTTTGAGCCTTTAAAGATTAATTTACAATATATTTGTGTTTTCCTGTACCAAATAATTAAGGCAGTAATTTCACAAATTATTTTAGAATGGTAAAAGGTAAAACATTTGCAAATTAAATAATGTTTAAGCAAAGTTAATTTGTATTGTATATGACTTATTTAATAAGCATGGCCATTTGACAGATACATAGCAAACATCCAGGCACATGGCATCATATTTTCCATCTGTAATATTTTATGCTAGTTATTACTTCCTTTGTAACTGGAACTCTTAAAAACCCGCTATTGGAATTGAAATGTAACTGTCAAAATTAGAGTAAATAAAAAGCACAGTTATTCATACATATCTCTGCAAGTTCATAGAGATCCTAGTGCTAAATTATTTGTGTGCAATCTGGTTCTGACATTTGCAACAGATGGATACTAAATCTCCCTCTGATTTCCTCCTATAAAATGGGACATTTGGTAGGAGTTTTATGTTAAGCAATGCAAACAGTCAGTTGTTTATGCTTGATTCACAAGTCAATGTAATATAAATTGTCATGGAAATTGAAGCTGAATAAGACATAAATAGTTTGCATTTTGGAATCATTTCCCTTTGGTTAATTATATCTCATGTACAGATCACACTGTAATACTCTTTAGTGAAAGCCAAATATGATTATTTTATGTGACTGTTAGAAGATGCAACATTTGAGAGCCTTCTCTGTGAGAACTTTCAGCACATCTGCTTATTTGGTTCTGTCCCACTGAGGAGATGATTTACGTTTGAAAGAGTTTCACATTTCCTTGAGTGACATGGAATCTAATTAGACTTGACCCAAAAGTATAAAGTATCAATTATCACAAGACTTGAAATCTGTTAAGAAACAGTGTGCAAATCTTAGTCATTAGGAAACATGTTTTCTAGCCACTTGGGAACACAATGAAGCTCAGGATTACAAAATGCTGTGTGGTCAGCGTGACATGCTCAGCAATAATATGAAGACTCACAATAAAAACAACTTTATATGATTACTTTTGGCAAAAAAATATCAAAGCAAAAATGAGCAAAAATGAGAAAGAAATAAATTTTCCTGACAGAATATTAGCAATGAACAATCATTATCAACATACTGTACTATAATATATGTAACATGAAAATATCAAACTTATTGAACAGTAAGAACACTAAAATTACAGCATAATTGGTCTCTGTTGGCAGAGCATTATCAAGTCTATCTACGTTGAATAGTATTAGCTACAAAACTACATTTCCTTGACACCGCTGCAAAAATATGAACTTCAAAAGGGTTTGTTCATAAGATTATGTGACCCCACTATACAGCACGTTTTAAAGCATGAAAGCCTCCAGATAATAAACACACCATTGCTCCCACTGGTTAAAGAGAAATATTCTTGAATTTCAATTCATCTATTTGTTTCTTTTGTGTAAATTCATTTTTTTCTTCTTCCATACATTTACATGACCCTGTCAACAGTGTAGGAAATGTTTACCACCAGAATTCTGCAAAAAAAGATGTATCATACGCAGGGGCGTACTGACAACTCATGGGGCCCCCGGGCAATAGGGGATCATGGGGCCCCTGTGTCCTTGCCCAAACTCAAAAAAGCCTATGAAAAAGGTACCAGGGGCATCTCATGGGGCCCCCTACTGACCCCAGGACCTCAGGCAGTGCCCGAGTTTCAAAATGGTTAGTCCACCCCTGATCATACGTATAGTTCTAGTGAACAGAAAATAAAAATACTTTTGTTCTTAACAGCTTTGGGTGCCACTGGTTGCAGATATGTTGGATAGCTTGTCCTTCCTGGGTGTGATGGATGCAGTGTCAAACCTCGGCCACCTGCACCAACTTGCTAGCGAAACTCACGCTATGCTGTCATTGACATGCGACAATGAAATTCTCAGCCTCACCCTGCACAAAGATTTTCAGCTCTCGGGATCACAATCTAAGTGCCAACAGACTTGGAGTGATCATCATTGGGTTTCATGGACTTGTTCGATTAACTTTACACAACAAATCACTGCCACCAGATAGCTATTGGCCTATCGACCATTCACACTAACAACTATGATTTTTTAAAAATGTCTGTAATACACCTTGTCACCACAGACAGCAATATTTCAGAAATTTACAGTATAGTAGTACTTTTAGACAGGGATTCTTTCATTTCTGGTTTAGAGCACCAGAGAGACAATATTAACAAATTTAAAATATAATTTAATAAAAAATAAGGTACAATGATGCAAGAAGAACATTTACAGAAAAAAGGTGTTACAAGAGAAAATAAACAGTAATGCAAAAGAAAAACAAAAAGGGTTTAAGAGTGAAAATAAGTCCTGGTTCCATTCAGCAAAGTCTAGTCAATGAGCATATCATAGAGCTTGGCTCTAAAAAAATAAATCTTGCTGATGTCCTTCATTGATGGTAAAGAAGAGCTCTAGATTGCTTATACAGTCTCTGTTTTCTGGTCCCTGAGGAGATTGATAGAAATGATCAGACCAATCAATGGGTCTGAGCAGTGGCCTAAGGAATGTCACAGTGTTTATGACTATGTAGCTACCACTTTCTCAGATATGGTTTTATACATGTATCAATATCTTGGAATTCCTACATGTTACATTGTGGTAACTTGTGTATTACTATCCAACATGAAATTACCATTTGAATTAATGCAAATATGATGGGTATCAGTTGCCTATTCCACCTGGAAGATACAGTGTAATGTGTCCATCCCACCTCCGATGCCTTATAATATAGTGGTGTGTGGGTTTCAAAATGCTGCTAATTAACTGATACATATAAAGATGTCCTGTACTGTTATCTTATCAGGAGTTATGAAATGTATTGAAGTTCTGATTCTGCTGGTAGGGATAGTGAACCAGAAATGTGTATTCGCTAAACTTTCATAAATCTGATACTATTAGCTAAAACAGATATCTGCTTGCAGTTATAGTTACTTAAGCCTGGAAGCTTGAAGGTTTTATTATGGCTATTAGAGCTAGACTGGGATGTGTATTATGTTCTGTTCTGTTAACGGGGTTTATGATGTCTAAATCAAAGGGTTATCTGTTTGCCATACTTTGTTTTGGTAACAGGTAATTTAGTTAGGAGGTTTCACTGTGTCTTATCAATGGACTGATGTTTTGGAATGCAACCTAAAGTTTGTTAATTGTACAAGATGAAGTCCTGATGTAGCCATGTCATGAAAAGCAAAAAATAAAATGTCATGGCTGACTTATGAATTTCAAACAACATGGCTGCCCTGTCTCTTCTCACTACATGATGTAGCAGCCAATGAGAGAAAGCATAACATCCATTGCTGTTATGTTATATTTTCAATGTTTTTAGACATTAGAAAAAAGGAGTCTGGGGCGCATGCTCAACCTTGGATGATGGCTAATGCTCAGTAGCAGAACTCCGCTCATCCCCGGCGGCCTTCCCAGCTCTCCTGCTCAGCTATATCAGCTGCTTTGTCCACCGGGTGAGCCTTATAAGCTCTGCACCCAGCCCGGCAAAAAAGACATAACAAAATGGGGACGATTGGGCGCTGGAAGCCCCCCTCCCTGCCGCCGACATATCCTCTGCCCTCACCGCTCCATCGCTTCCTTACTAGGCTGCAATGCCTGGTCTCAGGTACCGCCGCCAGCCCGCAAAATTGCTCCAGACCCCTGGCAGTGGCAGGAGGTACTGCAGATCACTGCCCCATGGAGCCCCTTGCAACCCCAGCACATGGCAGCCCTCAGCTGGAGGATCTCAGGCACCTGGCAATGACAGTGGGGACAGCAGACCACCCTTTTACAGGGCGCTCTTCAGCAACATCCTCTACCCCTGCCTTACAGCCTGCCTCATCTTCTCTCACAGTATCTTCATTAGATGACAAACTGCAAGTATTTCTACGCAACATCACTGCTACCATATCTGCTGAAGTTGGGAAGCTGGTCTTGGGTCTTAGGGAAGAAATAGCCCAGATTGGGGACCGCATGGATCAATTGGAGTATAAGTTCGATGAATTGGTACAATACGTTCTTGTTTTGGAGGAAGACAATGTGTACCTGAAGCATTTCATGTCCCAAATGCAACTCCAACAAGAAGGTTTAGAAAACAGGGAACGCCGCCAGAACATTCATATTAGCTGTATGTTCGAATCAATTGTTGATTCCCAACTCCACCGACATCTATTGTACTTTTTTACCGCAACTGTCCCCCATGGTTCCAGAATCAGATTGGTGGTTGGACAGGGCTCACCATTCTCTGGACCCGAAACCCACTGAAGGCACCAGACCCCGCGACATCATTGTCCGCTTCCATTTTTTTGAAAGCAAAGAAGCCCTGCAATCCTCAATCCGCAATAAACCCTCCCTGGAATTTAAAGGGGACAGACTCCAGCTTTTCAGTGATCTCTCACCGATTACCCTGGCCAAACGGCGGACACTGAAACCGATCACCACACATCTTCAGCAACACCACATCCCTTATCACTGGGGATTCCCCTTCAAGCTAGTTGTCTCTAAGGACAACGCCCGAGTTATCTTGCGTGACCACCATGAGGCAGACTTCTTCCTCTAGCAGCTGGGACTTGTCCCTCTACCGGAAGACGCATCTTCACTGCCGCCTACCCCGTCCCATCCCTCCGTCACCCCAAACAAGATCTGGACACCAGTTGTGGTAGCCGGAAGTGACTTTCTCACACACCCCCAATGGCCATGACCTCCTCAATCAAGTGATGTGCCTACCTTACGACCCTCTTGGGTGACCTCTCAAGGCAACCCTGGTGCCGCCCCCCTCCCCCGTTATTATCTGACCAAGCCCTACTTGGGTGCACTTATTTTCTTTTTCTTGCCAGGATTGATGATTTCCAAGATGTGCCAGTTCTTGTTTTGATCCTGAACCCGTCTAGCCATAGGCCTAGACGACTTGGGTCTGTTCATTTATCCCAAGTTTATATCACCACAGATATCTTTGTTTTTTGCTGTAATTCCTACGGTTAATATTGTATGTGCTATATCCATGTACTGGATCTTTGTTTTTTCTGTTCTTAGTTTTGCTTCATTGATGATACTCCATTTACTCTTTAAGCTGGTACAAATGCTATTTACATTATTGTTTTGTGATGGCCTTACAGTTATTATCATATAATGTCAAAGGTCTTAACTCCAAAAACGGTGGCTGGCTTTGAAGGAGTTTCGATCCTCAGGAACAGACATCATTTTTGTTCAGAAGACCCATTTTAAATTGACTGGCTCCTTTCATTTTGCCTCAAGGTTTTTTTCCCAATCCTACTCGGCTTTTGACCCCACTGGGAAGGCTGGAGTGGCGATTCTGATCAAGACGCACTGCACCCTGCGGGTCTTTTCCTCCAAAGTCAACCCACAAGGTTGTTTTATTATTTTGGAATGTATGTTTGGTGACTCTCTCCTTGTCTTGTTGAATTTGTATGCCCCCGAACACGGGCCAATTGCAATTTCTCTCCCAAACACTTGCCAAACTAAATTTCTCCTCTACACCACATGTGATCATTGGAGGTGATTTTAACCTAATCATGTCCCCTCATGAAGACAGGAAGGTCCTTTTCGAATCCATTCCCTCAAAGCAGCAATGTTCCTCTTCAAAACCTTTTCACAAGCTGATAAGGGAGCATCGTCTCTTTGACGCCTGGCAGATTAGATATCCTCTTCACAAACAATTTATTTTCTACTCCACCCCACATCACAGCTTTTCCTGCTTGGACTATTTCTTCTTTGCCACCCCATTGCTTCCTATTTTGGTTTCATCTGAAATCAATTCTATCACGTGGTCCAACTATGCTTCCTTGACCCTGAATCTCCTTTTTCCTAACGTTATGTCAAAAGCGTGCCACTGGCGCATCAGTGAGGCTTTTTTTTACTGCAGCCTATCTCCGAGATGAGCTCTCCCAAGGATTAGATATGCATTTTCGCCACAATGTTGGCTCAGTAACCTCTTCCTCGACCCTGTGGGAAGCCCATAAGGCCATATTTCGGGGACTCTGTATCTCTATGGGCTCTCGTTTGAAAAAATCCTCGGCGAGCGCCAAGTCATCCCTCATCTGCCAATTATCTTCAGCTGAACGTCGATTACTTGCAAAACCATCTATCACTGGGCTCTACAAGGTAACTTCTCTTCGTGACCAAATCAAAGCCCTCGACTCACGTAAATCTGCAGAATTCCTCCTTTGGGTCAAATAGTTTCTAATAAACTATACCGCATGCTCGTTAATCGACTCAAAGCACAATCTCCCTCTACATTGCCAGGCCACCTAATCCAACCAGATGGGGACCCTACTTATGATCCCCATGTAATGGTCTCACACTTTGGATTAGATTATGAGAATCTCTACAATTGTTTGCCCCCGGATTTTCCTCCCCCCCTCACAAAAGCGTCCTTTGATTTTTTTTTTTGATCCCCTATCGTTTCCGAAGCTATCACCCTCTGAAATTTCGGCCCTTAATGCAGACATCTCATCCAAGGAATTATTCAAAACAGTCAAACAACTCCCCTCCCACAAAACCCCTGGACCTGATGAACTACCCTATTCCTATTATAAGACCTTTATTGGCACTCTGGCCCCTCGCCTTCTCTCTCTATTCCAAGATCTCTTCAAAGGCATCACTCCTCAGGCTGATTATTCTCGTGAGTATATTTCTGTTATCCCCAAACCTGACAAAGATCATTCTATCCCGGACAACTATCATCCCA